CCCAACAGAGTTCAAATCAGCCCCCCACAATATCCCACAACACATTCCTACTGTGTATTGGAAGCATATTTCAATGATATACCCGGAATGATGATATCATCAGAAATATTTCCAATACACAGAAGGGGTGTGCTGTGGGAAATTGTGGAGGGCTGATGCGGCCTCATCCCAGCAAGAGCACGCAGCAGCGAAAGTTACCCTGAAATCCAAAATAACAGTTCCAGTTCCAGCAAATTAAAACTACCAACATTGTAAATTCTGGCAAAATGCGCGTTTGAAACTTGAGAGCTGGATCTAAAAGCTGAAGCTGGATGCTCAGCAGGACTGGCCGGGATCCCCCGGCGAGAGGTCCTGCAGATGAAGATCCTCACTGCACAAATTCGCGGTTCTATTTTTTCTTTTTTCTTTTTCAATTCAGCCTTAAAAATCTCGTCCTAGTGTTTTGAGGTTTTAACTGATTAGTTCACTCTTAGAAATCTTAGCTCCACTCTAGGGAGTGGAATGAATCTTCACCATGGATTGATGTTGCAATTTCAGATTTCTGAGGGAGTACAGTCTACTTATCCCTAATGTTTTTCGATCATTGTAAACAAAAATTACTCCTAAAAGAATTTATTTATTTACAATGTTTTTCAATCATTGTAAACAAAAAATCTGTGGCCTGATTCGATATTCGATATGATTAATTATCAATAGGATTTGATTCAGATTTTGCAATTTGCATTTGATTAATAATTAGATCAGATTTGGATTTGACTCCATTGATCCTATTAAAATCTGAATTTGATTATATTATAATATATATTGACCTTAATATATAAACTTTATATAAATATATTTTATATATTATATTATATATAAAATAAATTCAGTATGTTATATTTAAATTAATTTATTATATATAAAAATTGAAAAGTAATTAACATTTTAATTTTTTTATTTTAAAAAATTAATGTTGTGATGGGTTAAATCCAAATCTAATCCGAGTCCGTTAGAAATTGAATTCAAATGTTAGGTTTTCAGATTTGGTTTTCAGATCAAATTCAAATGCAAATTTTCAATAATTGGATTCAGATTCAGATTTTGCTGAATCCAGTCCATTTTAAACTCTGATGATGATGGTGATGATGATGATGATAATAATAATAATAATAATAATAATAATAATAATAATAATAATAATAATAATAATAATAAGAAGAAGAAGAAGAAGAAGAAGAAGAAGAAGAAGAAGAACAATAACAATAACAAAGTAATATTTAGAGATAATTCTTATTTTATTATCAATTTAATTATTATTTTAATTATTCATTTACTTATTTTATCATCAATAATTATTTATTTTACTATTAATTTAATCATTTAATAATTTATTATTTTAACTAATTAATTTTAAAATACATAATTTTTAATTATTAATTAATTTATGTAATTATTTATTTTAAAAAAATTAATTAATTAATTAATAATTGTTCTATTCTTTAAAAAAAATAATTATTTATAGGTTTTTATCAGCTCAATTGTTTATAAATTGTTTTATATTCATTTTATTAATTGTTAATTAGTTTGTTAAATAATTAAACAAACTTTCTCTTATCCAAGGTTAAAATGGTCAATTGTCATTTTTCAGAACTCACCATTTAAATTTCTAAACAACATTCAAATTTCATAACCAAGAGAAGTTTACAAACTCCAACACACCTTTTAAAGTAATTATTACAGTTTTAGAGCCATTCAGATGTCAGATTTCAATAAAAACAAATATGCCTTAGATTTGGATTTTATCTTGTTTGTTTTTGATAAGTAAACATATAAGATAATATTGGTTAAAAATACTTGTTTCATCAATATATTGTATCATAGGTAAATATAGAAGACAAGCATGATCGGTCGGACCCAATTATTCTGATTAAATAATTTGTTTGTTTGCATTCCTTTCAAACTGAGCCTTAGGCTCGGTAGAGTGCAAAATCATGTATTTTGTATCATTTTGTATGTATTTATATTATAGTCTTTTCAAACTGAGCCTAAGCATTTCATATTTTCATTTAAATGTTTCACGTAACAATGCCAATCAGTTTTAGCGCTTTGACATTGAAATGTCATTACGTATCTAAACATTTGACCCGAGCTAGACTGACCTGTCTAAGACTAGTCCAATTTAAACCACCATGAATGTTGGGTTGGGTTTAGCCTAAGCCCAAAAGTGGGTCCAAGCTATTGTCTTCAAAAGGAGTCCAATGGGGGGAGTGGGGATTATGGGCTCAGGCAGGCCTTTCTCCCCACTGGATTCCATAGTGAATAATGAAACATTGCAATATGGTATTTGCTACATTTCAGCTAATTCCAACCAAAGTGTCCAGCCCCAAATGCTTTAAAAGGAGAATTTTTTGTATTATAATTATGGGAAAATCTATTATTCTAGAAAGATATCATACCGGAAAGGTTTTTTCCAATTACAACCCCTGTGAATTTATGTGAAAACCCACTTTATTGATTCCTACTGTTATGATGCTAGTTGATTGGTTGTAAGTTTTTTCTGGTATCATATCTTTCGGACATTATGCATACGTGATGGGCTGGTGCTAGTATGCTATTATATATACTTCATACCAGATTTCGGCAATGTGGAATTACAGGACCCTTTTCGCTAATATTTTGAAAAAATCATCCAGTTGAACTTATTCCCGTCTACCCATGCTTTCTAAATCCCCCTCCAAAAACATAAATAAACAATCAAGGATTAGACTATGATAAAGAGAGCATGATATTGCAAAAATTAACCACGAATCAACTGTTATCATAAAAGAGGTGACCAATTACTTGGTATTCTCGTGCTTGATTGGTTAAAGTTTTTTTGGTACCATAGATTTTTCCAATAGTGCCAAGCAAGGTGTCTCAATCCACAATGCTTTACGGTTGAGCCTGGGCCCATGTAACCCTCTGAAGCCTTGGGCCTTCTGGAACCAACGTTGGGGAACTATGAACCCTTGGCCCATATAACCCTACCATATACTACCCTCCAGGTTTGATGGTCTAAGATTTCTTAGGGAGAATTACATGGAAGAGTAAAGTATCCTCTTTATGGGGGACTTTCCAAAGTCTAAATTCGTAAATTGTAAGATTTTGTGTTGATCCCAAATCTATATTATATATAAAAGTGTGAATGTAGTGTGAAAATTTTTTGGACTAAAATTATCCTCTATTTCTTTATTTGAAAAAGGGTATAAAAGTTATTTTATTATAGCTTTAGTGTTAGCTTTGATGGCTAATAAAATGTCCATATTTGTATATTTAGTCTATTTATAATTGTAAGGGTTGAAAATGTAATTTCAATTATTACTTTCTACCTCATTTAATCCCCTCTCATCAAGTCTTATACTTATGAGATTAAATTCCATTTTCTCTTATTAAATCTTATATTTAATTTATTTTTTACTAATAAATGCCACTAATTAGATCTATGTCAATATTTTAACAATATAAAACAATATATTTTAAAACTGACTCAAAACAAAACCATTCTTTATCCAAGTGGTGACTAAGAAATTCAACTATTCGAATCAAATTGATCAACCTATGAAGTCATAGTTAAGTAATAAAATTTTTAAAATAAAAATAAATATAGAAAATTATAAAAATGTAGAAACAATTAGACACATTATGGTATTTTATTAATTAAATTAAAAAATAAGTGTAATAAACAAGATTTATTTTTGTTGACAATGAAAATGAAATACATAGTTTAGAAATGGCCAAAAATGAAATATAAAAGTTCATAACAAATAGTTCAACTTTTGGTAAGGTGTTAACATTAAATGTTATAAATAAATAATAAAAAATAATAATTTTTATTACCTCTAGAATCAATGTTTTAAAAAATGACCAAGAAACGAAACCATTTTAGCCACTGTTTCCAAGTTGACGATTCGGCCATCCAATTTGAACAAATGGCCAATTCTGATAAAAAAAATAAAAAATAATAATTAAAATAGAAATGGCCAAAAACCATTGAACTGGTCGATGATTTGACCGCCTGGGTCAATGGATTGATTCAATGGTTTTTGGCTAGGGACCGGGTTTAGGGTAAAACGGAACCAGTTGTCTGGATGGTTCACGAGCCAAGCGGTCTGTCTGTCCAGGTCAACTGTGGTTCAAAAAGAATGGCTTGAATAGTTAACAATAGGCCATCTATCTAGTTAGAGCGCACCCTAGGTCTTTCATTAGGCTTTTCTCCATCTTTTTCCTCTTTATACACTTGTTTCAATTTTATTTTCTTCTTTCCTAAGAGCATTTCATAGAGGTTAGTTAATAGGAGAAAATAATATCTTTTCCTAGAAAAATTATTTGCACAATCATACCTCTTTTAGTTTTGAACTCCAACATTAATTTCTTTCTTAGTTTTCTTTTCTCTGTTCACCCAAAACAGTTGCATCATCTAGATTTAGCTTCCTCTCTTTTTGGGGTTTAATATCATAATAAATACATCTAATTCCAACTCATAGCATTGCTGAAATTCATTGTTTCAAATCTGTTTTTCAATTGCATACACATAGTAATTAGCATTAGGATTCAGCAGCACATTTAGCTAGCTTAGCATTTGATCGTCATACCTAGAATTTAAGCAATAGGATCATCTTCTACGCCCATCATCATTTAGTTTTGCATCTAATACAATATATATCTAGTTTTGCATGCCATAATTTCAGTGCTACTTTGACATTTTAGTAGTTAAATTCGTCTCTTTTGAGGTTTAGGTTCAGCCAGCTGAACCCAAATTGGAGACCTAATATATATATATATTTAAACATATTGACGGTTAACCAGCCAATCAGTTTTGATCCCAAATCATTTAAAAAAGCTTTGGCATCTGAAACCTTGAAATTAATTATGAAGGAACACCTGAAACAAAAGCGCATGCAACCAAAAAACTAGAAACAAAAGTGCTTAACTCAAAAACTACTCAGTGGAAAGATGAAATGAACAAGACACATGTTTATCTAGAATGACAAGTCATAGCCGTGGAACTTCTGTTCAGAGATGCGATCTATGTGCTCTATCATATCAGCAGTAAGATGGTTCTTCCAGTCTTCAACTTGGCCTTTTCTAAAGAAAGCACTGTATTCCACCCCCACATGACTCACCTTGTCAGGATTCTTGTTCACCTCCAAATTGCTCAAATTCTGGAAACTGCACAAGTTGAGTATTTTTTCAACCACCCCTTGTTTCTCCTCCTCCAAGGAGAATGGGTACCTCAGGTGTTGGGCCAATTTCCTCAAATAAATCAATGGATTGCTTCTAAGATCCTCATATTTTAAGAAGAGTATCCTCTCAGGCCGCTCTAAGCTTGCTTTCCAAAATCCCAACACGTGTTCCCAAAAGGGTCCAAATGGGGAGCCCCCTTTGCAGAACAACTGAAATGCCTCCTCCAATGAGAGCAGTGACTGGTCTTTGTTGAGTTTGGCTTGTATTTTATTTCCGAAGTGCCAAGAGGAAACCAGCACATCTTTTGGGTTGCGGCAGATGTAGACAATTTGACAATTGGAGTCTATTATTGATTTTGCCAAGGAGGAGTACGAAATATGGGTTGAGAAGATGCGAGGTGATGGAAGAAGATCAGGTTGGTGATTGGGGTTTTCCTGTAAAGATTGGTTTCTAAGGTGGGAACACAGTCCTGAGGATTATGAGTAAATAGAAGGTGTGTAGTAATATCATAATGGGTGCGGTTGACAATGGAAAATATGAGTGTGTGTAGTAATATCATGTGGTGCCTGATTTTGGAATGGAGGTCAAGAGAATATCACTAGGTCGAGCTTTGAAGTGTTGTTGAACGGCCATGGCTCCTATGGAAGAAGTGGGGACGTACCAAGAGCCTTGATACAGAACTAGGTTGCTGGAAGGCCAGCCATTTTCAGTTGGAAGGGTTGAAATGCGATTTCTGTATGTTTGATAAACTCTTTCATCATCTGCTTCTTCTTCTTTTGATTTGGTTGGGAAGCACCTCTAGGAAGGTGGGATGAACTCCATGGCCGCCAACTACAATTTTGGTTAGTACTTTGGTGCTGATCAATAGAGTGGCTGAAAGAGAGTAGATCTTTCCAATGGTTTCTTGACAAAGATGAGGCTTCACCTTCTTCATCAGGCTGTATCAAATGGTATTTTCCTCTCTCAAATTAAGATAAACAAGACACGAAGGAGTCTGGATCACCTGCCAACAAAAACATTCCAACAACCTCCAACATCGTTGGACACTACACGTCTCATGCATGGTGGGTTCCATTTTTATGGTGGCACCTTATCTCAAGGGGGATCAAATCAGCCTCCCACAATGTCCCACAGTATATCCCTGCTTGGAAATATCTCGGGATGATAATACTAGAAATGATGGGGAGATGTTCCCAATAGGATGTTGTGAGGGGGCTGATTTGAAAGTGAGATGTGCCGCAACAGATCAAATTGGTAGGTTGTTGGAATATGTTCGATCTCAACTCCAGTGGAACACATTTGTCAGTGCAATAATTGCAATTAAATTGTGATCTGTTTCTCATACGGACTTTACAGTTACACCCATCATGTATTGGCAACATTTCCYAATAAATAATAAATACAAATACCGGGATGGTAGCGAGGAGCAGATCCGGAATTAATAATTGTTGATTTTAGGGCAGTATGGGGATATGTGTCYTGTACCTTTAATTTGCTCAGTGTGTGCATGAATAATGCATCCTTGCCTTGCACTTTTTCAATGAGGATGATGTTGTCATTGGAGACGACTCCACCACGTTAATTAAAATTAAATTTGCCCTTTGGCTTCTTTTGTACGGGTGT